GCGTTTTCCAGCACAGCACTCCCAGGAGTGGGGTGGTAGTCTTCAGAGTCTCTCAATGGACAGGTAGGACCAGAGAAAAAGCTTTACTTTTCTGTTACCATGTTCTCCTGGGGCTTCTGGGGGGGGCAGTTTATTCTGTCCCTTTGGGATTCCTTGACCACACACAGCCACTTCTGCATCCTCTTATGACTACTGTCCTCCAAACCTGGCTCTGCGGTGACAACGGCCAGGTTTGAATATTAGCCACACACCTAGCATCTGTGACATTGTAACAGGATGCCCCACAGTGTTAGGGCTGGGGGTAGGACTTTCGATGGAAATCTGGGCAGAGCCCACTGCAGGCTGCACTTGCACACAGCTAAGTGGAGAAGCGGCTTGCAGATCTGTAACCTTGCTAACAAGAGCAACACCCTCCCTCCTCTCAGGCTACCAGCCTTCCTCAACCTGCAGGAGGCGATACTAGAGAACATGATCCAGAACATACTGGTGGAGGCAAGCCGTGGAGAGGTGGTGCTCACTTCGAGGCCCCGCATCATTGCCCTGCCACCAGTCAGCTTTCACAGGTCGAAGCCTGGGGTTATACTCATTGCTTGAAGGGGAGCAAGACAGGAGAGGCACTCAGATGTAGTTGGAAGCCCCACCCCCATTCCTACTCTTGGCTTTCTGTTTTGCAGGCCAGACATCCTGTTGCCCATGCAACAAGGAGAAGTACTTTGCTCTGAGATGCAGCAACCTACCGCTGACTGTTTGCTGGGGTCAGCATCCAGTCCCTCTTACATTCCTGCCTAAATTCCCCCTGGTCCATGCTAGTATTATTGTCCTGCTAGTAAAACATTTAGTGCCCCCCTTATCTACTTGGATTTTATTTCCCTCTGCCTGAAGAAAGAAGTATATTGAGATGTGTGGAAGGTGAGAGCTGCCAGTGTGGACGGCAGAGACCCAGCGTACCTTTAGAAACCTGAGGATGAGTTTCCCATGGACTGGCAAGAGGGGTGCTGGACTTAGTCTGGCCAGTGCAGGGCGCTTCAGGAGGGGCGCAGTTGGCTTTGCTACAGTGTATCCTGGAAGAACCTAGTGCTAGGCCTGGTGGGCTAAGCAGGTGGCCATGGAGGCGGGATGGTCAATTCTTTCCACATCTGTTCCCCAGCACCTCCAGAGCCAGTCTGGTTCCCTGAATTCTGCTAAGAGGTTAAGAAACCGAGCCGTGGTGGCGCACACCTTTAATCTCAGCACTCCAGAGACAGAGGCAGGCGGGTCTCTGTGAGTTCGAGGCCAGCTTGGTCTATAGAGCCAGTCCCAGAACAGTCAGAGCTACACAAAGAAACCCTGTCTCTAAAGACCAAACCAACACCAAAACAAACAAACAAACAAAAGTTTAAGGAGGATACTGAGGTACGAAATAGTGGGCCAGAATTTGGATCTGGACACATTTGGAAGTCACGGTTCGAGGGACTAGAGACTCCACTCAGTGACCTCCATTACCAATCCTCAGACCCAGAGATGTTCTGTCTTCACTAGGACGTCCGCCTCTTTTTTTTTTCCACCTAAGCCCCGCTGGGCAGCCTCTGTCCTCTGCTCCTCCCTGAGCTCAGAGCCAGGTGGGTGGAAAAGTGACATCTGGTGTTGTTCCAGAGGCACTCAGGTCCCCGGCACCCTCCCTTACACGCCGCCGCCCCCCCTCCACGCGCCCGGCCGGTGGTGCCGCTGCCGCCGCCAAGGCCTCTCTGCAGAAGCTTGGTCTCTGATCCTGGGCGGGGGGAGGGGGACGCTCCGCCTCCATGAGTCAATATTTGCCCCGAGCAAACGGGCGCCCGGACAGGTGTGCGTGTGTGTGTGTGTGTGTGTGTGTGTGTGTGTGTGTGTGTGTGTGTGTAGGGGCGGGGACTGAACTGGCAGTAGTATAAGAGTGCTCTGAACCCTGGCTAGGGCACAAGCTCCGGGGCGTGTGCTGGGGACGAAGCCAAGCTTGGCTGGTTTGGGCGGAGGGGCAGAAAAGCTGTGGACGGTGGCCCGGGAGGGAGGGGCGAGCCAGGTGTGCACCTGTGGCGTCCGCCGCTGCAGCCGACGTGTCAGCCACAGCGGTGCGCAGGTGAGAGCGGGCGGCTAGCGGAGCGGTGGCGCTGCGCTCGAGGAAGATCACCGACGAGTCGTCGCCGAGGACCGCCGCCAGGCCCCGGGTCCTCCGCTCCGGCCCCGCGACGAGCCCCTCGCACAAACCGGACCTGAGCGTTTTGTTCGTTCGGCTCGCGTGAGGCAGGAGCGGCTTCTCAGCATCAGCCCCGGGGCCGGCCATATCGCCACGCAAGCACCTGCCAGCCGCCACCACCGCCACCATATGGGTCGCAGAGACTGTGCACCGTACCCGGGGGACATCCGGCTCCCATCAGGCTCCGCCTGCCATGCCCGCAGACTCTGAGCTGCCAGGGACAGCTCGCTGCCGGGTAATGCGGGCTGAGCCGGCTTCAGCGGGGTGTCCAGAATGGGCTGAAGTCCAGAATAGATCCCCTTCTGAAGGTGGAAACTGCTGTGGCAGGGCGAACTCCGTGGCCTTGGGCAAGTGTTTCCCAGGCCTCTTGGTTCTCGCGTTTGAGAAAAAAAAATGAGGCAGCTTTGTTCCTCATAAGAGTGAGGGTCTCCGCCAACCTCTTTATCTTAGTTTCTGGGCTCCTACGCATTCTACTGAGTCCCTTTAACCTGGCCCTCTAAGAGTCGGTGCCCCAGCTGTGAGGTTGTAGAAAACCTGGGTGTGGTGAGCCAAGGCTTCTGTGCAGACTCAAACCTACCCCTCCATCTCTCTTTCATGCTCCCGCTGCCACCCCAAAATTTCACTTCTACCACCTCCCCGTCTACCTGTCAGTCCAATCATATCTGAGATCAGCAGACACCAAAGAGGACAAACACAGGATCTTCAGACACAGGACGGAGCTCACCACCTTTCTCAAACCCCATAATCTTGTATTCTCTGCAGCCCAGTCAGACAGGCTGTAGCGCTCAGCTCAGCCAGAGTTCCGTCATGGATCATTAGCCACAACCCAGATCTGGGATGGGCCACCCCCTTTTCAGTTACTTAAAATGCCTGCAATGGCCTGCAAGAAGGGGATTGTCTTATACTCTGGCAGAGGAGCCCAAACTGAGAGTTCTACACAAGGCCTGGAGGAGAGGCTAGGCCAGAGAGGAGTAATTTCATTCCTCCATTCCTGCTTCTGAGGATGGGTGACAAAACCCAGCAGCAGGCTGAAGGCAGAAAAAGGCTCCTTGTACAGCAGCAAAGGCCCCTGGCTGGTTTTCTATTAGGGTCAAGAAGCAATGGTGGAGAGTGGTGCCCGCACACCAAGACAGATGCCAGGAAGATGGAAAATAGGGTTATAATTCAGAAGTTTCTGGAAGCGTCGTCTTATCCCATCCACTACCCCTTTCCCTAGCCCTGAGAGGCCCCCACAGGATCTGCAGAGTTTGCTCCTAAGAAATGGTTTTAAAACCACTCTGATGAGGATGTGTTCTTGGCTGGACTAGCCCCAAGGCCAGGCTGTATCCACATAGCCCCCTGTGATCCCCACCCTGGCCTCTTTGACCAGGGTCTTCCCTCCTTGCCCTCAGTGGTACTGAGTGATTCACCCTCAGCAGTCTGGATCACCTTTCCTGTGTCTTTGATAGCACCCCCCTCCCCATTATAGCATGGAACTAGCACTCCTTAGGGGGTTCCAGGTCTTGAGTCTGCACACAGAGGTCTGTCCTTGGAATGGTCTCCAGAACATATAAAAACAGCCCTAGGAAGCAGGGTGACAAAGAGAGACCAGGCAGTGGCCTGAGGATCTGGCCTGGGGATGGACATTAATTCCTGGCCCTTGCTAAAGCTTCCTTCCCACATCCCCACCCCCTACCCATTTCTAAGATTCACTTTTCCAGGCCATCGTGGGGCATCTGGCCTCTCTTCTGGGTCCCTCCCTGTCAGATCGAGGTGGAGTCTGACAGGCCTGCAGGTGCTGGGATAGAAGGGGGGTACCCAGCAGCTGGTGTGCGGGCTGCCCCTCCCCCTTCCTGCTCCAAGCCAGAGCCTGCTTCCTGTCTTCCCTGTCAGCACTCCGGGCTGGGGGAGGGAACAGGTAGGGGGAAGAGGAAAGGGACAGAGCAGTTGAAGCGCTGCCCTGGGGGAGGGGGTGATGGGGAGACTGGGAAACAGCAGGGGAGACGTGGCCAAGGGGACGATGGAGGAAGAAGAGACCCCAGGACAGGGCAAAGACAAAGAGTGTAGCGCAGAGCCGAGCGCTCAGTAGGGAAAGGAGCGCTTGAGAACTTTCAGACAGCGGAGGCTAGAGCTAGCGGGAAACCAAGGTCAGAGGCCGAGAGAAACCAGACACATGCAGGCAGGCGTTCGTGCTGCGCACGCACACACGCGGGGGTGGGGGAGGTGGGGGGGTGGTGAAAGAACAGAAGATGGAGACCAGAGAGGAGTGGGATAAGAGAGAGGTCAAGTGGATGGATAAAAACCAGAGGTGTGGTGGAGGGAGAAGGAAGAGGGTGGCCTGTGGGAATGACCCCAGGGGAGGACACAGAGGTGGGCCGCAAACGGTAACTGCCAGGACTGGTAGGATGAACACCGCCTCATTAAAAGCCAGAAGTTGGAAAGGTACGAGGCTCACGCACGCAGTCCCTGAGCAGTGACGGGCGTGACTCCATCTTTCCCTGTCAGGTCACTGCGGAGCAACTACCCTGCCCCCACCCACTCTGGTGCATCTGGCTCGGCCTTGGAACTTCTGGGCTCGGAGGCCTCTCAGGGTCCGTGTGAGAAGGGAGACTTAGGAGTGGGGGCTCACATCCAGGTGCTAATCCCTCTCCAGCCAGGTTAGCACCGGAGCTTTGGTGACCTTCTTGGAGATTAATCCCCATGGAGACGAGTCTCGCCCCCTCACTCTGGCTGGGCCGGGTGGGTAACTGGTGAGGCAGGTGGGGCAAGCCAGGGGCGGGATGGGAAGAGAAAAGAGCCTTCCTCAGACATGGCAGGATCAAGGTTGGCATGGCTGAGAGGACCCCTCCAGCAGCCAGCTTAATTTACAGGTAAAGCAAGGGGTGGGGTTGGAGGAGGGCTGGCCAAGAAAGCCAGAGGAAACCGAGGTCAGGTCTTCAGCTCCCTGTTCCCTTCCACCCTTGTTCCCTTGCCAGCATAGGCCTGAGCAATAACAGGGGAACCTGGAACACCTCCCTGACCTGTCAAACTTGAGTGAGCAGAGTGGCTTCTGGGAGAAGGAAAGTGAAAGAGAGGCCTCTTGTTGAGTGTTCTGCTGGCTTCCCTAGAACCAGGATCAGGTAGGGAAAGGTGCTTGCCGCCTTTACCCCTCCCAACCCAACCCCACCCCATCCCAGAGGAAGTGGGGAGAACCCCGAGACCAAGACCTTCATAACCTGGAAACACACCAACAGGAGCGACTACCAGTTGTTGAGTATAGACTGCAGGGTGGCTCTGTGTTTTCCATACATTTAAATCCCCCCCCCCCCCCGCAGTAGTCAAGACAATGATTCCCATTTTGCGGAGGAGAAAATGGACTTTGAAACGGAAGAGCTGGGGTTTGATCTCAGGGAACAGCATGGCTCCAGGGCCCATCTAGCCTTCAGTGCCTTCAGTGCCTTCAGTGCCGTTCAGTGCGTGTTCACAGCTAAACAGTGAAGAAGATGCACGGGTGAAGAGGGGCACGGGTGCATGTCAAAGCGCGCGTGTGAGGGTGTGTTCCGGTGTCAGCCCTCCCCCATGCTTGGCACATGATATTCTAATTGACAGAACAGCTGTCTATTGAGTCCCAGGACAGGGCAATTCACACATCAAGTTGGTGGGATCGTTCCCATGTACCTGTTACTGAGGATGACTCTACTGACACCTGACTGTGAACCTGTGTGTGTGTGCCCTCTCCCTGCCTCCAGCCCATCCTAGAAGAGTCTCGTGGCCTCCTGTGGAAGTGGGTGAGTAGGGTGGAGGTGAGCTCTCCAGTCCTACTGAGGACAGATAAGACAGAGTGGGATAATGTGGGTGGGGCTCCCATCTGTCTGGTGAACTGGGTTTGTCTCACACTGACTTATCTCTGTCTCCTGGGAGACAAGGCTTGTACTGCCCCAGGGAAGGAACTCCTCTGCCTGTTCCAGACCTGAAGTGGGGCGGGGACCAGAGGAACCAGGCTGCCAAGGAAAGGCTGGGACTCAGGTGGATGAGGGCACCACTCACAGAATTTGCATTTTTCAGTCCCCAAGGCCCTGGATAATTTCCCTGTGAAATTAAGGGAAGGGGTGGGATCAGGCCACCTTGAGGAGAGGACATTAGCCACCAGTATCTCTAAACTGTCTAGCAGTACTGAAAAATAGGGCTCTTCATGGATTCAGACTCCACACACAGGCAGTGCCCCTTCCCTAGGCGTTTTCTGGACCTTTACTGAGAACTCAGGATTGGGTCTGGGCATTTATCTGCAGAGTCCACAAGTCCCCACATGGGATGGAGGATTTGGGTGGAGGGTTAGATCCTTGTGGAAACAAGCAAGTTCAAGCCTGAAGGTTCTCTGTGAATCTAAGGGTCAACATGGAATGGGTCGGGGTAGACAATCACAGTGGAGATGTGGATAAGGTCTTAGGACTTCTGGAGTGTGTGTGTCAACGGCCCCTATATGAGATGATCGCCTCAGTAGGCTCAGAGTGGAGATTTGGGGGCATAGATCTGAGGTTGCTGGGTTGTTTGTTTGTTTTCCCGACTGTTCCCTGGATGTCAGATCTGTGGCTGTGGAGGAGGTAAAAGGGATAGCACTGAGCTGGCAAACAAAGCCACCTGGGCATCCATCCTTCAGGAAGCTCTAAGCTCAACTGACCTGGGAAAACAAACAGGAACAGCTGCCGGGGGTAGGAGGGGGCATGAGGGAGAGACCAGGGGCTGGAACTGGACCAGCCTGGTGGAAAAGGGAGGACAATGGAAGGAGTCTACAGCATGGAGACGGTTTGGTTCTGCCGCACCAGGGAGTGGGGGCTGCCTGAGAACCTCTAGGCCTCCATCCTTTTTAGAGGCACCTACCCATTCTTACTCGCTTGGGGGACACGGGACCTCAGTTGCTGTAGGCAGTGCGAGCAGGTGTGGTGGTGACAGACACGCCATTTAGCTAACTGCAGAGAGAACTAAAAGCCGTGGATGTGTGGTAAGACCGCATTTTCCTGATGAGGAAACCCAGGTGCAAGCAGAGTTGGGGAGGCTGGCTGCTGTCAGGAGAACTTCCAACTGGAAAGGGTAGGCTTCTCATATAGACCACCACCCCCAAAACCAGGATCTCACCTTCCCTCTATCTTTTTCCAAATCCTGAGGACTACTAACCAACATATGGACTGGAAGCTACCCGCACCCCAGGCCAGAGGTAACACATGAGCCCACAGTCACCAACAGCACAGTAGCCTACAGTCACCACCACAGCAATCACACACACACACACACACACACACACACACACACACACACACACATGCACACGCACACACCCCTGGCTGCTTTTTTTGTCAGTGCAGACTCTGCCCCCTGGTGGCCACCTCTAGAATTGTCCAATGGAAGTAAAAAGATCTTTTATTATCTATCATTTTTTTTCAAGCCTTACTTCTTGATGCAGCTAGGACTTGTGAAACAGAGAAGAAGCAAGAATAGTAAACATCCAGGAGTAACTGATGCCATATATGGAGTCTGAACTTTTCCCCATAGTCTGGGGAAAAATTACAGGTCTGTTATGTGTGTCTAGCCCTCTCTAAGGAAGAGTCAAGCAGCTAAACAGTAATTCTGGCTCCACCCTCAAGCAAACCTAGTCAGATTTGTCCCATTTTACCCCCATGTTCTCCTGGCTTGGAGTGTAACCTCAACTCAAGTTCATGCATGTCAATCCCAACAGTAACTTCTTACTAGTGAACGGAGAGGCCAAAGGGAGGTGCTGCCTACCCCCTCCCCCTCCACACACACACAGAAGCCCAGAACTCCAGAAATGGAATTAGTAGGATGGGTAAACCATCACCCACTCCACTGGAGACTTCCTTGTACGTGCCTTCCCCGTAGACATTTGGCTCACAATTGGTCACCTTGTTAATTCACTCCATTTTAATTGGATTCCTGCTCAGTATCCAGCACCATGCTAGGCTGGAAGATGACAACTGGGAACAAGGCAGACATAGTTCCTCCCCGTTTGTGTCAGGCTTACAGTCAGTCTAGTAAAGGAGGCACTGGTGCCTCTGTGAACCGAGGAGGGCATCTTTAGACGGACTCACGCTAGATAGGAAATAGATGATGGGTGACTAGCATCGCCCACAAAGTGGCAGAGGGACTAGCCACGTCGAGAGCATGTGGTTAAAACACCCCAGGAACTGCAATGGGCAAATGTAAAGACTGGGCTGGGAATGGGCTTAGCACATTAGGTGAACTTCCAGAAGTTGGGGTAGGATGCAACAGAGAAGAAAGCCTGGATTTTCTTAACTCTGAAACTGGCCAATTAGGAGTTTGCACAAAGTTCCACACCAGACTGAGTTTCAATTTCCACGTTTGTGTGTGCAAGTTGAACCCACCAGGCTGCTGTTGAGTATACAAGGAAGGAACTCGGCAAATAGTAACAAATTAGTTCACCCCCACCACGGACTTTCCTGCTGGGATAGCCTCTCACCACCAAGGAGTACTTGTTAAAGCAACTGTCTAGTTGACAGCTAACAGTGAGGCCCTTTCCTTCCTGCAACCACCTCTTTGGGTCTCTAAGCCTTTTCTCCTTTTCCCCGCCCCCAACCCCTTCCCAGCCGGCGGATTCTAGGGCTCTGGCGGCCTCGGCACTCTCTCGGGAAGGTTGAAATGCTCCTTCTACCTCGGACAGTCAGCCCCTCCCTTGGCACTGGTATTTCCAAAACCCAGGCAAACCTAAGCACTCCCAGATGCTTTTCTGAGTTTAGTGCCACCTGGCGGCGAGGCCTGGTCTCGACCTCGGGACGGGAGAAGACCAGTTGGTAAACCCCGCTCCGGAAGAAAAGGACAGCAATGGACAGATCTCCCAGCGAAAGGAGGCCTGGGGGCTTGACGCTAGAGAAGGGTCTTCTTCTTCTCCGGCCTAGCGACGCCCAAAACAGAAATCTTCTCTTAGGGAATTTTAACATTAGAAAGAACAGTGCTGTGCCAGGCTCACGTGGTCTTAGAAAAGGCTAAACCCTAAGCTTAGCCTTCATGCCTGAGGGTCTGTGCCAGGATGTGCGTGTTCTGCCCCCAGGCTTGGAGACTCTGCCAGGCTTAAGCCTCACTGAAAGAAAGCGCAGAGTCAGCCTGGGTTCCTGCGGACACGCGATGTGCGTCTCAGCACTTTCCGTTGTCATTCACGCGGGCTGGGACCAGATCGGTGGCTCCGCTGCCTATGCAGACCAGAGCTGACCAAAGCTGGCCAGCTGACTCAGCTTGCCCACCGCGCCCGGATCCCACAGGGAGAGGCAGCCAGACGGAGGTATAAAGCGGCGCACATCAGGCTCGCGCGCAACTTCTCCATTTTCCGTGCCTGCGGTGCTCAACCCTCCGGTGAGTACCTGGTGCAGGGGGAAAGGGGGGGAGAAACGAGGGAAAAGCCCTGCCCTGGGCAGCTTGTTTCTAGAGCCAGGAGAGATCCAGTCCCGGGGACCCGAACTGCCTATCAAGGATGGGCAGGCTTAGGCTAGGTACAGGACTTGAGAGAGCTTAGCCGGTGATCCCGCTCTTCCTAAACAGCAGCGGCATGAGCAGCGCCCCTGTGCCGGGCGCAATGCCCGCCTGTCTCACGCTCTGGGATGAGGAGGACTTTCAGGGTCGTCGCTGCCGTCTTCTGAGCGACTGTGCAAACGTCTGTGAGCGTGGAGCCCTGCGCAGGGTGCGCTCGGTCAAGGTGGAAAACGGCGCGTGAGTGATTCTGCTGCATCTGTTGAGCTAACTTAGAGGGTGTCCGGCTTCTCTCATTCCCACCCCAGCCAAAGTCAGAGCCTGGGACTTCATCCTACACTCCACTATGCCCTTAGACAGACTCATCAACAAGACAAACCTTTGTTCTCTCCAAAACTCACAACCCTCCCCAAGACAAAGACAAGAAACGAACTATGGGGCCCCGCCCTGAAACTCCAACGGTTTTCTTTGTGCGAAGTCAGGTAGCCTTGTGCAGACAGATCCTTTCTGCTGGCCCTCATCTTAGTATCCAAGAAGCCAGCTTGGGGGCCTGGAGAGAGCTGAGGTTCCTTTGCGGGCCGGAGACTCAGTTGCATCCCTAGGAAGGCACATAAATCCCTGCAGACAGTCCTTGGTCTGGTGATCTTTGTAACCCAAAACATTTCTTCTATCCTGTGGGCCATGAATGGGAGGCCTAGGCCCTTCCAAACCTAGAAAGCACTCGGTTTGGGGGTTTCATTCTCCAGAAGGACTCGGTGTGTCTGGGAAATGCTCTAGAGTTTGGGTCCCTGGGTTTTCGCTTTAACCACAGCAAGAAAGTGGTGACCCAGAGGGAAACTGCAAAGATACCTCCCAGTTCCCCTTCTCCTTTTTCAGATGGGTGGCCTTCGAGTACCCCGATTTCCAGGGGCAGCAGTTCATTCTAGAGAAGGGAGATTATCCTTGTTGGAGCGCCTGGAGCGGCAGCAGCAGCCACCACAGCAACCAACTGCTGTCTTTCAGGCCGGTGCTCTGTGCGGTGAGCAAGGCCCACTTCCTCTTCTCTCCTCTCACCTAGCTTCAGGCTCCAGCAAATGCATAGGGCCTTGAAAAACCTATTCCACCCCGAATAGTGTATGTGAATAAAATCTTAACGGGAGGGTGGGGGGGTGGTGGTGGTGAATGGCATTTCTCCAGAACCAAAACCAAAACGTCTGAAAATTGGGATTATGGAGACACAGGTGTGGATCAGCACCATGGACAGCATCAGAGAGCCGCTAGTTATGAGCATGCCTGGGCCCTTAGGCTTTCAGTCCCCCACAGGTGTAAGGGAACCTGTCAGCACACAGTCCCGGGAGACTGAGGTGGCTGCTGTCAGCCCCATACACAGTCTTAGAAATGAGGTTCAGAGGCATAATATGACTTTACAGGATCAAACGTGTTAACATGCTGATGACACTCGAATTCAGTCCAGAGATTGGACTAGAACAGGCTCAGTGTCAAGATGTCTCTGAGTGTTGGAGGGGTGTGTGTGTGTGTGTGTGTGTGTGTGTGTGTGTGTGTGTGCGTGCGTGCGTGTGTGCGTGCACGTGCGTGCGTGTGTGTGTGTGTAATAATGAGCCAAACGTCCAAAAGAGGACTCTCTCTCCTGCTCACTTAGGTGAGTTCTGGGACTGGCGGTGAAGGTCAGAGGACCCAGTCCAGTCTTGCAAGAGGCTGTGAGTGACGATAACTGTGTAGGAGGAAGACCTCTGTGCTAGGCCAGATGCAACCAACACCATGTCCACCTGTATGTTCTGACTGTTCCATCCAGTACCCCTTAGCTGGGTCCCGATCTGAGCGAGGCAGTGATGGGGAGCTGAGCAAGGAATTGAGTCAATGAGACAGTTAATGAAATATTCTGGTTAATGGGCCGGATTTTTTTCTCAGAGCCTGTGGCTTCCTTCTGAAAAGGAGGAAGGACACAGGGGGACAGTGGTACATGCCTATAATTCCGGCTACTTTGGAGGCTGAAGCAGAAGGATCACAAATTGAAGGCCGACCTAGTATACTCAACAGGGCTTGATCCCTATTACCACAAATATAACAGAGATGACGACAGCAAAGGGCCCTGTCACAGAAGACCTTTTAGCATTGAGCTCAAAGAATCTCTGGGAATTGTCTGGTCTTCGCACATAACTCAAAGTCTTGGTAGGGCCCAGGTGGAGCCCCTGAGCATCCCAGCTGGCCAGACCCACTAGGAGCTGATGGGGTGAACTCCTGAAATGCCTAAGAGGCTGCATGTTATGTGACAAGCAGGAACTGGGTGACTAGGGTTAAGGTTATATCCATGAACAGGGCCTGACATCTCTGTCACCCCCTATTTCTGTGCCTCAGAACCATGGCGACAGCCGCGTGACACTGTTTGAAGGGGAAAACTTCCAGGGTTGCAAGTTTGAACTCAGCGATGACTACCCATCACTGCCTTCCATGGGCTGGACCAGCAAAGATGTGGGTTCCATCAAAGTCAGCTCTGGAGCGTGAGTCCTGGGGCTGAACAGGGGAGGCAGGAAGAGTGGGAAGTCCATGAGAACAAAAGAGAAGATGGGAAGATGATGGAGGAGGCCTACAGAGATGTGGGGGAGGAGGGGAGAGGACCGGAAAGAGTAGCAAAAGGTAATACAGACCAGATCCAGGGGAGTGTGTGGGAATGTGGGGGGTTGAAAACTTGGGTAAAGAGGAAATGAAGGATGGGTGTAGGAGACAGGCTAAAACAGATCACAAGAAGACCCAGAGCAAAAGGCAGGGCTGAACTGTGGCTTTGGAGCTGGCTGGTGGCAGCTGGGATGGGACTGTTGAGGGAACCACACAGGTGGGAGCAATGCAGAACCTACTCACTACCTACTGTTTTCTTCACTCTCCTAGGTGGGTGGCCTACCAGTACCCAGGTTACCGAGGCTACCAGTACGTCTTAGAGCGGGACCGGCACAGTGGGGAGTTCCGTACCTACAGCGACTTTGGCACGCAGGCCCATACTGGACAGCTGCAGTCCATTCGAAGAGTCCAGCACTAGGCTCTACCCTCTCCGTCATTATCACCCCTAAGATTCTAATAATAAAAGTTCTTGACTCTACCTCCCCTCTTGCCTCTTTCCTTCTCTCTCTCTCTCTCTCTCTCTCTCTCTCTCTCTCTCTCTGTGTGTGTGTGTGTGTGTGAGAGAGAGAGAGAGAGAGAGAGAGAGAGAGAGAGAGAGAACTTTATACATTTGTGCAAATAAGAAGTAATCTCTCCTCCTCCTCCTCCTCCTCCTCCTCCTCCTCCTCTTCTTCTTCTTCTTCTTCTTCTTCTTCTTCTTCTTCTTCTTCTTTTTAGACAAGATTTATTTGTGTAGCCTTGACTGTCCTGGAACTCTTTCTGTAGTACAGTCTGCAGGTTGCCTTAAACTCAGAGATCCTATGGGCCTCTGTCTCTCAGATTTAAAGTGTGTGTCACCACTGCCCAGCAGGCAGGTAATCTCCATTCTTATATTTTTGAGGATTGTTTCTTCCAATAAGGCCCCAGAACCTTTACCCATCAAGTATGACCTAACTGCAAGGAGTATGGGTATGCTCTCGGGGAGCTAGAGGGAAACAGTCAGCAAGAGTTGTGGGATCCAATCAGATGCAGCCAGTTCCAGATCTTGACTTGGGGGGGGCACACCCATGTAGGTCAAAGCATTGAAAGCCCAGATGGTACCTTTGCCATTCTCCAGATGGATCAACAATCCCATCATGAATTAGGGTCCAAAACTGAATTTCGACTACCACACACTCCTTGGGTCAGCAACCACCATGCAGGGCAAAATATCCTGGACCATATACAAAAGCTCTTCTTGATCCTGTACCCCCCAACCCCAGGCCATCTTCAGTCTGCATCTTCACCCTGGTTTCCAGACAGCCAGGGTAACCTGCCAGTGTCTTTCAAAGGTCCCCTTTCTTTTGTTCCCAGGAGAAGCATTCATGGGAAGCCCCACCGACCACTATGCCCTTCTACAGGAGCTGCTTTATCCCTTTGAACCCAGGCCCAAGACTATAACATGCACCTCCCATGATATTAGACTTTTCTATCTACCCCAACATGGAAGCTATTGATTGATGCTTTGTGTATGTCCAGGGGTGGTTGTGAGGATTTAATAACAGCCCCCTAAGAATATGTGTTGGGCTGTGAAAAGCACTGAAGCAGTGGATGTAGGACCCTCCCCCCCCCCGCCCTGTCATGGGTCTCAGAAGCAAGGGTCCGAGCTCTCAGTTCTGAATGGCCTCTAGAGTCCATGGCTCCTGTTGCATTTGACCCTCCAAATATCCTCCATTCTTCATCTATCTCATTAACAAAGAAACTGGGGTTAAAGAGAGCGCATGCCCAATCAGTGACTAAGCCAGGGTTTGAAAACAGGGCCCCAGGTGCCAAATTCAGGTTCAATGAATGCTAAGTTGAGCTGAGGCTAAAACTTCAGGTTTCTTCAGAGCCTGAAACATGTGGATTCCTGACTGGCCATCTCTTTGCAGGACAGTAGTATTAAGGAAACTAAATGCATACAACTTGGTCCTTACACACTTACCATGTGCTGTCTCATGAAAAGCTCACGATTTGCAGATGGTGCTTACACCATCAGTTTGAAGACGAAGTTCAATACTTCCTCGGCACCACACAATTAGGTCATAGGCAAGATTGCTGAACCAGAGCTGTTCCAAACCCCAGGACATCTTGGCTTTAGGCCCCATCTTCTCACTACCTGTTTCCAGAAATAGGCAATGTGTGAGAAAGGGAGAGAGTGCTCCCTGGTACCTTCTCTGGGACAAACAATTGGGCATCCTCCTCCTAGGAGTATCTGTGGTCACCTCTAGGACCTGGCAGAGGGACCCTGGATAGGTTGCTGCTGGTCTCAGGTTTGTTTGATCCAACTTTTGCCGGCATGGATCTTTTTAGGTTTTTCTGGATCCAGAAGTCACATTCTGAGTCCCACATCTATCAACCCCTGGCAGCTTATAAGGAGAGGCTGAAGTTGGCATAACTGAGGGTTTTAATCTCTGGTTCTCCCATTCCGGACAGGCTGGTGGTCTGCAGACTCAGGAGGAACCAGGATACACAGCTTGGCAAGGAGACAATGGAGGGGAAGCTACCAAGGAATCTCACCCCTTCAGCACCTGAGTGCTCTGTCAGTCTGAGCACAAAGTCTGAGCTGTTGATGCTTGCCCAGCATACAGCTGTTGTGTAGGACACACACACACACACACACACACACACACACACACACACATATCTTCGCCCTTCTGCCTCAGCCTCCTGCTGATAGTATTAAGTGGGTAAACCTCCATGCCCTCCAGCTCTTCCTGTTCTTACCTTCTTGCTGTTGCCTTGTGTCAGTAGTTGTTGGAAGGAGCAATAAGAGGGCACAGGAGCAGGACTGAGAACTTGGCAGTACCGTAAGGCCCTTTCCTGCGGTGTCCTAAGCTTGTTTCCCCAAAACATCCCAACCCCTGCCTTTGCTGGACTAGATTCCATATCTGCATCCTGAAGTCTCCATCCCTGTCTTGATAGGATTCTGTTGACTGTCCCATCTTTCTTCCTCCTCATCTGCGTACCTTTGCCTAGCAAAGATGAACTTTCCCATGATTGACAGCAAGTGAGAGTGGACAGGGTCCCTGCAGAAGCCAAGTAGGATTTTTGCAGCAGGTCTTCAGACAGGCACCCTGGGAACAAGAACCCTGCAGGAGGCTTGTCCATTTCCAGCTCTCCTAGCTCCTGTGTTTAAGCAAGAGAGAGGAGGACACAGAAAAATTGCTGTCAGCAATTCTGACAGCAGCTACCCCCTGCCATATGTGTCAAGTATCACATACCCAAGTGTCACAGGGTTGTAGAAAAAGCATTGCTGACCCAGGGTACCAACTTCAGTCTCAGGGCTAGGAAGTCTCACAGGTACCCAGACACCCTGCTCTACCTGGAAGCCACATTAGGAAAGGCACTTGTGTACAGACCCTATTGGGATCCTTGTAACCCTGCAGCGTGGTTCATCCATAACCAGAATGGGAGTGTTTGTGAGAGTGGGAAAGGGAGGGAGAGAAACAGTCATAGTGAGAACTGGGAAGAGGAATAGGAATCTACAGGGGGAAAATCAGCTTAAATCTATTCTGTCTCGGGCTAGACAGAGAGGCTCCAACAGGCAACTGAACAGATGAAAAGAGGAGGAAGAGAGGAGGAAGAGAGGAGAAAAGAGGAGAAAAGGGGAGAAAAACAACAGTCATACGGCAGCAAGGAGACCTAAAAAGGAGGTGAGGAGAATAAGGAAACGACCAACTCAGAAGTTGCTAGGGGAAATGCCCCAGTGTCCTGCCTGAGGCTTGGGGCCAGGCGAAGACAGGAAACCAATGAAAGCGTAGGGGAGACCGAGAAGGAGATCGGGTCTCTAGGGACCAACAGAGAGTAGGAGAAAGGAGGGAGAAGGCACCGGGGTGGGCAAAGATAAAGGGAGCCACGGCAGCGCGGCCGGGAGCGTAGCGACAGGCAAGAGGGAGGGAAGCGGAAATTTAAAAGTGAAGATGCAGATAACGCAGCCTGGAGACGGGGACCCGGGGGGGGGGGGGGGGGAGAACGGGGGTGGAGAGTAAGCAGTGAGGGAGGGGAGGGAGAGGTTGGAAAGAAGGCTCTGGGGAGAGGGCCTGGGAGGCTATGGTCCGAATTGGGGCCAGCATTCCCGCCCAACGATGTTTGCCGAAGAGTCGGGGTGACAGAAAAGAAGCGCACTCCAGGCCCCCATCTGAGCTCGAAGCCGGGGGCCCATCCCCCGCGTGTCTCCCGGGCTGCGGAGCGCAGGGGGCTGCCGGGTGCGCTTGGCTGAGGCGCTGCGCGTCGGAGACTTTATTGCGATGGGAAGATAAGAGGGGCGGGGGCGGGGTCTGGGGGGCCGAGGCGGCCGCACTTTAATTAAAACGGAAATTGCGGCCCCTGCCCGTGCGGGGCCGGAGGGTTGCAAGCCGCCCTGTAGCTAGGAGCACCGCTCCAGGACCCCCTCCCTTCTCGCCACACCCTGGCTGCCCGCTCCCGCCAGGCCTTGCCGGACCCGCTGGCGTCTACTCTTTCCTGTCACCCACAGTCGCCTCGGGCGGGGATCGGCACCCCAAGCGCAAAGCTGACGTGCCCCCCCCTACCGGTCCCCCCCATCTCCCACCGCCCAGTCCCCGGCAGCGATGAGACAGAGCGGCGCCTCCCAGCCCCTGCTGATCAACATGTACCTGCCAGGTACCAGGGACCAGCCGGGGGCTGGAGGCACCAAGACCCTGGGCGGGAAGTCTAGGTTGGGGCAAGGGCCAAGTTCGATGGGTCAAAGGAAGGGAATGATTCCAGAGAGTCGCTTTGTGGGTGTGTGAAAGGGACAGTCTGGGGCATTCAAGGTAGACAGCGAGCTCCGGGGTTTCATTGTGGGTCTAGATAGGACTCGCAGATTCCGGATTCTAGGAGGCTGAAAGCAGGGGTCTTTGGCGTGGTGGTCTCCGGGCTCCAGCTTTGCCCGAAAGCTGTTATCCGCTGGGCGTCGCCTCTGCGCTCACAAGGGTCCTCACCTTCGTCCTCCGAGCATTCACACCGGCCGAGCCTTCCAAGCGCCCCCTTCCTCTTTACGAGGGGCTCTGCTAGCTCAGACTCGGCTGGTGCGATCCCCTCTGGGTTTTATAACGCTCCAGCCGGCCCCTTCGGAAAGCGGATTTCCTTTTTCCTGGACGCGTTTCCTGACTTGGGCGCTATGGAGGGGCTCTGCGCCGCACGCGTCGCAGCCTAGCTTGGGAAGGAGGAGCTGGGTGGCCCGAACCCCAGAACACTGCAGCCCCGGGCCCTTTCGGTCAAATCCGCAACTTCCGCCTAGGTCTGCTTGACTGTTTTCTTCTGCGCCGCAGATCCCGTCGGAGATGGTCTTTTTAAGGAAGGGAAGAGCCCGAGCTGGGGGCCACTGAGCCCCGCGGTGCAGAAAGGTGAGCTGAATGATACACTGGGCTGATGGAGACACCATAGTAAATGGGGGGGGGCAGGGCTATGAACCCAATAGGACGGGTACCCCTGCCACTAGACAGAGGGTCAGAGAGGTGTGCATCCACATTATGGAAAATTATAAGGCCGTGGGTAGTTCGTGGGAAAACACTGATTTGATCTTTGACTCGTGCATTTTTTGAGTCCTTGCTCTAGGTCTACAAGACAGGTCAGACGAAGGAAGGGGATGATCTTGGCTCCCAGATTCTTTTTGGTCAAGGGTGGGTTGCCGTGGTGCTTAGCATCTTTTGGGGGAGGGCTCTTTTGGAGCAAAGTCGGAACACTTCCTGTCGGGGGTGAGTGTGGGGTCAATAACTACTTCCTAGCCATCCTAGGCTAGCAGAGGCCTAAGCCGCTAGCAGGCACTCCCTACTATCCCTGCCGAACTTTCTGACTTCGCCAGCCACGCCAGTCTTGGCGTTGTGTTTGATACCCAGGTTCGCTGCAGCAGACACAAGGCCTGTCAGTCAATCCTCTGGCTAGCATTTCTACTCTTTCCTGTAGCTCCTGCCCCAGCCAGTGACTTAATCTCACAAGAAGCCTCAAAAGATGAGACTGGCAGCTGCTTTTCTTTTCCCGAAGGAAGAGGATGTAACACCCAGCAGGGATGGGGGCCCAAGTCTCTGTTGTTCCTACTTGGTGCTGGGTGCACCTATTAGGCCAAAGCTTCCCATACTCTACTCTAAAACCAAACTCTGACTTCCGGGGAACCAGCCAGCTCTTCACCAGTCTGGTCTAGAGGAATTGGGGTTGAAACTCTGGAAGAAAGACCCTTTTTGGAGGGGTTCCCACCGAGTGACACGGAAGGGGGAGGAGAGACCCACCAGGCTCCACCTGAGGCAAATCCGTTTTATTCTAAAAAGGACTGGGGACAGTTTGCTAAGATTTTTGTCGCTTAAGACTTCAAAGCTGGAGAGTGTGCGTTCTGGGTCACTCACCACCACTTCCAGCAACCCTGAGATTTGTAGGAAGACCAGCCAGCATCCCTCATGATGCTTTTGCAACCCTACCTCTTTCCTCGGAGCTGCGCACTTCCTTCTTCCCCAGCATCCCTGGGGTTAGGGCACCTGAAGGTGATGAGGATGGGGTCTCTCCAAGAATCAGCCTCTCTTCTCAGTACACAGGGCCTCTGTTCTTGTCTGTCGTGGTGTTACTTCAAGTCAGTCCTGTTTTACTGTATACCTTTGGGTGGTAGGGGCTGTCTGGTGCTCCTACGGGTAGTGGCACACTGCCCTTTGGGGCCTGAATCTCCGGACAGGACCTCACCTGGTTGAGCAGTTTAGCCTGCTGCACCGGGCTGTCTTGCACCTCTGTGCAGTCACAGTTCTAAATAAGGGAGAGTGGCCCAGAGGGGTGAGGGTCTGATGTCTGCCCCTTACCTAGGAAAGCCTAAAGCTATGCTTCACCACGGCTTCTCCACGGAGGAGACAATGAATGCCTCTCTTCACCCAACCAACCACAGAGCAATGTACCCTAGCTCTTCCAAAATGAAAGACGTTTCTATTGTGCTCGGCTGGTCTTCACGGGTTGACCAGCTGTCTCCTGCTGCTCACAGGGGTGCTGTCTGAAGTGCCCTTGTCTTCTTCAGCGGGGATTGGCGGTGGTTTGTGTTGTTTTCTTGCTTCACCTCTCTCCCCCCTGGTTCCAGCCTGCCCCGTCCGTGGCTGACCGCTCCCCTTCCCCACAGGCAGCGGGCAGATCCAGTTGTGGCAGTTTCTGCTGGAGCTACTGGCAGACCGCGCGAACGCCGGCTGCATCGCGTGGGAGGGCGGCCATGGCGAGTTCAAGCTCACCGACCCCGACGAGGTGGCCCGGCGCTGGGGTGAGCGCAAGAGCAAGCCCAACATGAACTACGACAAGCTAAGCCGCGCACTGCGCTACTACTACGATAAAAACATCATGAGCAAGGTGCACGGCAAGCGCTATGCCTATCGCTTTGACTTCCAGGGCCTGGCACAGGCTTGCCAGCCACCGCCCGCGCACGCTCACGCCGCCGCCGCCGCCGCAGCAGCTGCTGCCGCCGCCCAGGACGGCGCACTCTACAAGCTCCCTGCCGGCCTGGCCCCGCTGCCGTTCCCCGGCCTCTCCAAACTCAACCTTATGGCAGCCTCGGCCGGCGTCGCGCCCGCTGGCTTCTCCTACTGGCCCGGCCCGAACGCCACCGCCGCAGCCACCGCACTCTACCCCACCCCGGGCTTGCAGCCTCCACCCGGGCCATTCGGCGCGGTGGCAGCCGCCTCGCACTTAGGGGGTCATTATCACTAGACGGGGCGGCCTGGTGAGCCAGGGCCTCCCCCAGACGTCCAGTGGCCAGTCCCACCCTCATCCTGGGAGGAACCCCGAAGCTTTCCCCGACGTTCCTTCAACACAGATTTCATTGAAGCAGCCGCGCCCAGCCCAGGGAAGAAAAGGCTGGAAGCTTCTGAGGTCTTCCTAGAACACTAGGCTTCCAGCCCCCCATTATCTCCACCCACCCCAGGAAGAGCGATTTGCCCCCACTTTAATTTTTCTCTTTCAAGTCTCCAGATTCTAAAACTTCCGTGGTGCCCCTTCTCTTCTCACCTGCACCCCTGACTTTCTCTCTACGACTCCTATTTTTCTAGTTTCTTTCCTAATTTTTTTTTTTCTCTCTCAGACTACCTGCTCCAAACTCCAAAACCTCGAGGCTTCTCATTCTCCTTCCCGGGATCTGAGAAGGCTTGGTAAACATCCCCAGCCCAACACTTGGGCTTCCTTCTCTTCCACCCCCACACTCTGGCTCAAAGACCCAGTGTATACCTAACCTTTTCAGCCCCATTAAAGCTCCCAAGCTCTCTACTGCCTCTTTTCTGTTCATTGCTGTACCAGGGCCCTTTTCGGGGAGGCCAAAGAGGTAAAGGCTCAGTGTAGGCAGAGCAAAAGACCTCCAAAGAGCGACAGTAAGCAGGCCTGGGTGTCGGTGGCCTGAGGCCAGGGGTGAGGAAGAGCCGGTGGGTGGGATCCTAAGAGGGTGGTCTCTCACCCTCGCCCCATCCCATCCCAACTTTTACCCCTACGGCCACCCCCTCCTCCACCTTCCTCCATCTCACCCATCTTTCTGCTATCCCCTCACCTCATTTCAACAGGCAACCCATATCCTCTTCCTTCACTCTATAACAACCTTCCATCGGTCATTCCATTTTGTCCTAATTTAGTACCCTTCCCCGCCTCCACTCCCTACTCCGTCCAATTCTCTTAATACCTCTCTCACTTTTCTTCACAAAGATCCTGCTGCTCCCAGTAGCTTTGGCTCCCACCCTTCGCCTTAGATGTCTCTACTCTTAAAAAGGAGTTCTTCCCCTCTGGCTTGGCGACTCTTTTCCCGTTAGTGGTGCGCGCCCTCTGCTGGTCCGAGAGACGGTAGGCCGGGCTACTGCTAAATCTAGGAATATTCGGTGACCCATCTTCCCTACCAAGGACAAGAGGACCAGGTTGCCTCCACATTTCCTTTAGCTTTCAGCGTGAGGAGCAAAAGGAAGAATCCAGACCCTTCATCCTGAATCCAGCCTTGGGAAGTCTGGGAAATTGGTCTGGTGGCCCCACTCACTATGCAGAGGCCCTTGTGACTCTCTTATTTCTGTTCTCTCCTTTTCCAAACCTATTGTCTGGGAAGTGACTTTAGATGTTCTCCTCAGAAGAAAATAGCCCTAACCAGACTTCTAAGCCAAGATCCCTGTCCTCTCTTCCCCGTGGCCCAGGTATTACTTTCCACAAGGATAGCTGTATCTCTCCAGAACAAAGGGTGTTCCTCATTTGAATGGGAATGCCTCGGGCCGGTATCAGGCATGCGCGCAGGCAGGCAGGCAGGGAGGCAGGCAGGAGATTTAAGAGGTGGAAGACTGGGCAGTTGGAGTGTGGGGTGAGTATGAGTGAGCATTCCTTCCCAGATGGACCATCCAGGCCCACTTCAGAAGGGAGCCATTAACCACTACGCTTCCCCCTCCATTTCCAAATAGCACATACTTACCCTAGGGGATCCAGTCAGGCTTGGCAGTACATGCCTGAGAGCCCAACACTGAGGACTAAGAAGCAGAAGGGGGCAGAGTTTGAGGTCAGTTTGGGCTTAAAGCAAGACCCTGTCTCAAGAAGCAAAACAATAAAAAACCTTGAAAGAAAAACACACAAAAGGTCTCCATTAAATACCAGTTGAATAAAAAGTGTAAGGCGTGAGTCTGGGAGAGAAATCATCTGTATCATCATGCATAGGCCACTATGTTTGTTTGTTTGTTTGTTTGCTTTTGTTTTTGTTTTTTGAGACAGGGTTTCTCTGTAGCTTTGGGCCTGTCCTGGAACTAGTTCTTGTAGACCAGGCTGGCCTCAAACTCACCGAGATTCACCTGCCTCAGCCTCCCAAGTTCTGGGATTAAAGATGTGTGCCACCACCGCCCTGCTCCAGAGGCCACTCTATGCCTCTGTCTAAGGGTCTTCCCTTTTATTGTTTTTTGTTGTGGTGTTTGTTCATTTGTTTTGTTTTTCAGGACAGGGTTTCTCTGTGTATCCTGAGCTGTCTTAGAACTGGCTCTGTAAGGCTGGAGAGGTGGCTCAGAGGTTAAGAGCATTGCCTGCTCTTCCAAAGATCCTGAGTTCAATTCCCAGCAACCACATGGTGGCTCACAACCATGTGAAATGAGGTCTGGTGCCCTCTTCTGGCCTGTAGGCACACATGTAGACAGAATTATGTATACATAATAAATAAATATTTAAAAAAAGAAAAGAACTGGCTCTGTAGACCAGGCTGGATCACAGAGATTCATCTGCCTCTGCCTCCCGAGTGCTGGAATTAAAGATGTGTGCCATTACCTCCTGGTTCTCTTAGCCATTTTAAAAGAGATTCATTCCTTTTACTTTATGTGCTTAAGTGCTTTACCTCCATGTGTGCATATGCACCAAACTAGTGCCTGGTGCCTGCCAAAGTCAGAAGAGGGTGCTGGGTTTCCCCAGAGCTAGAGTTACAAGTGGTTATGAATTACCATATGGGTGCTGGGAACTGAACACTGGTCCTCTTCAAGAGCAACAGGTGCCCTTAGCTGCTGAGCCACCTCTCCAACTCCTACCTATGGCATTTGAAATCTCAGGATACTCTGTTCTTGCCACTAACATTCCAGCACAGGTACACTCCATGTCCTGTCCTATGGAGCTCCCGAGAAAGAGAATGGACTCATAATTCAGAGAGTGCGTGAGCCAGGGGAGGGCTGGCCTGCTAGGGCCTCAAGACTTGCAGGGGCACTTGGAGGACCAGTATGCTTACAGCCCCGTTTGCAGGGATGGAGCCCACCAGAGGAGACCAAGGCAGGGTCAAAATATCTGAGCTGCCAAGAATTTCCTGGCAAGGGTTGAGAGCTCCTGTCTCTAGAGCTTTATGTGAAGCGACAGGAGACAGAATACAAGCCATGGCAAGGCTGGCGCTAGCAGGGACTTTGTATGAAATAGTGTTATCATGGGAAACACGGTGAAATGTAGAAAAACTGGGATTTGGGCATTGATGAGGATGTGGCATTTAGGGTGAAGGAAGGTATCCCATCTTCTGGAGCAGCGACCCCACCACACCCCAGGAATGAAATGCTCAGTGTAAGCATTTTGGGAGCAAGACCAAAGGGAGCCACACAGTGTAGTAGACAAGGAAGTGAAGAGGAAAAATCTTGGAGAGACAACAGTAACACCACTATAGTCTGGGAGCTCAATTGGGGGAAGAGTGTGAGAGCTGTCCTCACTTATCCAGAGAACGGTCCTGGGGGAGAGGACCTGCATGAGGAAGATTGAGGGCAGTGCTGAGCGTGTGCTGGGTGTGTGCTGGGCATGCACTGGGTGTGTGCTGGGCGTGTGCTGAGCGTGTGCTGGGTGTGTGCTGAGTGTGTACTTGGTGTGTGCTTGACATGTGCTAGAGCGTGTGCTGGGTGTGTGCTGGGCATGCATTGGGTGTGTGCTGGGCGTGTGCTGGGTGTGTGCTGGGCGTGTGCTGG